TTTGGCCCCCCCCCCCCCCCCCCCCGCTCGCGACGAAAACTTTGCGAACACCACCTTTCTCTCTTGCATACGTGTCCCCTTGGTTGCCACACCCCATATCGTCATCGATAAAACACACACAGGCCGATCAACTCCGCTCGAGCCTGCGCCAGCTTCAAAGCGAGCACCAAGAGACGGTCAACAAAGCTACCGCCGACCTCGACGCCGCGGGGGACGCGGAGCAAGAACTGAGGCGGCAGCTGGCGGAGGCGGAGGCGGCGGCGGAGGAGGGCCGAGCGCGCGTCGCCGCCGCCGAGAAGGAAGTCCGGGCGCACGCGGCCGCGAGGGCCGCGGCGGGAGAGAGGAAGGAGGCGGTAGCAGGGGCGGGGGGGGGGGAAGAGGCGGCGGCGGCGGTAGCGGCGGCCGAGGCCGCGGCCGAGGAATCCTCCGCCGAGCTTTCGAGGCTCAAGAAGGCGTTCCGCGAGGAGCGGGCGGAGCACGAGGCTATGCTGGTGGCATCGAGGTGGGCGCTGATTTTTGTTGGGTGTGCGTGTGGGTGTTGTATGGTGTTCCAGTGCTACAGCGTGCTGGCGCTACGCTGCTGTGTTTGGGATGTATGTAGTCATGATATTCTGGAGTCTTCGGAGTAGAGAAGCGCATGTTGATAATGCAGAGAAGGGAGGGCAGGCAGGCCGTAGATTCGGACTAACGTAGTGGCGAAATTTGCCTGTACTACCCCTAGTTTGTCGTGCCGCTGGGTAGGCGTGTTAAATAGGATAATCCTCTTGTGCATGCCCATGTCGTTTGGGCTGCCGTAAGTATGGCCTTGCAGCAGGCATTGCGCCAGAGTGACAAGCGTTGGATGGATGGATCACAGCTGCCGTGTTCAAACCTTTCCTACCCGCTGCGTTTTTTTGCATCCCCGCCACCCACGGAACGTACATCCTCGGGCGAGCAGGCAGGCGGCAAACGAAGCGGTGGAGGCTGCCCTGAGCTCGGCCGACGCGGACAGAGAGGAGGCGTGCGCCGAGCTGGAGGCATCAATGAAGGCGGAGGTAAAAGAACAAAAATAACGACTACGACAGTCAGCCGGCCGGATGCAAATCTGCTCTTGTCTGTTGATTTTGGCTCTTCTTTTGCCGGAGCTTTCCCCCCCCCAGGTCTCGGCAGAGAAAGAGTGCGGTGCCTATGAGTGTGGGCTGAGTGACACTAGCATTCACCACCTTTTTTTTTTTCACCCTTTTCCGTGCCTGTGCCTCGCCGGTCTCGTGTTCCCGCTCCTGCCCACCCACCAAACCAGCCCGTCCCGTCCCGACTTCTTATTCGAGATTCTTCGTCATGACCTTTGCTTCTTCTCCTTTTGCTCCCGTGCTCCGTCCTCTCGAGGACGCGTGGTCAATGGTCTAACCGCTAAGGCATGCAATAATACACTAGTACTCCCGTCGCCCGATGCTTCGTCCTCTCGAGGACGCCTGGTCCATGTCCTTACCGCTAAGGCATGAAAAAGATGAGTACCCCCCCCCCCCCCCCCCCCCCCCCCCCCCNCCCCCCCCCCCCCCCCCGGCCCTTTTATACTCCCACATGACCCCCACCCCCCCCATCCACCCGTCAGGTCGAGCGGAAGGACCAGGAGCTCGAGGCCCTCCGGGTGCAGCTGGCCAAATCGAAGGGTGCGATGGAAGAGGTGTCGGCCCTGAGGGCCGAGGTGGAGGACCTACGCCGGGCGGCGGAGTGCGAGCGAGAGGCCGCCGAGAGGGCCGCTGGCGAGGCCAGGCGGAAGGCGGACGTGGTCAAGCAGCTCAGGTGTGTGGTGCAGTTATTTGGGAAGCGTTCGTGTGCGTGTGCGTGTGTCTTTACTGTTTGCATCCGCCACGCTAGCCGGCTGACCAATGAAAAGATGTCAGTCTCATTGTGGTTGAAAACACACTGCATGTTTTTTTTTGTTTGTTTGTTTTTTTCCATGATTGGACTCTGTCGTCTGCCCCTCTGACCCCTATCCTCCACTTCTACCAGCTAGACGACCCAACCGGGGTCACATAGGAGGGGTGGGTTGGACCCCCTCCTGCGGTTCCTGCCTGAGGAATTTTTATCGCGAGAAGGGTACAGCAATCCCTTCCCTCGCGACTTGTGAAGTCGATCACGTTTACTAACAACGAGCTTTGCAGCGCGTCGCTTCCAACGGAGACCAGGATTTAATTAGCGAGAAAAAACTCACTCTGTCGGGACTCCAACCCATGACCTGGCCCTTAGCAGGCTGCAAGGCTACCCACTAGTCCACCGGGGCGACCGGTGTGTGTGTGTGTGTGTGTGTGTGTGTGTGTGTGTGTGTGTGTGTTTTTTTGTGTGGTGTGCGGTGTGCTCACTCGCGTCTTTTGGTTCTAACATTATTTCGGTACGCCCTTGTGTGACTGCTCTGTGTGTGTTGGTGCATGTGTGTGTTTTTTTCGTTTTGTGGAATTGACCGCGCTGACCGGCTGACCGATGTAAAAGGGGTCTGTGTTTGCGGAATGTTTGCAGCGGGAAACGAAATGGTAAAAAGGTTTCTGTTGTAGTCATTGGACTCCCCCTCGCTCGCTCTCTATGTGTGTGCTGGTGTATGCGCCGAGCCTGATAGGTGAGTAGATCGTGGGTGTTTGTTTGCAGCGTTGTTCAAAATTTGTGTAGGCCTGTCACGTAACACTTTGACCCACTCATCCGCCCTCCGCCCTCCCATCTCATCCCTAACTTTTTGTTTTTCTTCCCCTAGGGAGGAGATCCGGGTGCTTCAAGCCGCTGCCGCGCAGCCTCGGGCTTCCGCGGCGGCGGCGGCGGCGAGTGCACGAGGACCGATGACCGGCGCAGTGTCCCGGCGCGGGGAAATCGCCGCTCGCACTGGTATGTACCGGGGTTTGTGACGCGATATCATCCATTATGACTTGTATTGTTCCGGTCGGATTTCTTGCTTGTCCTCGCCCTCGGTCGAGCAAGTTTGACATTGAACGCGGCCTAAACTCCCTTGTGAGAATGGAGCGCCTGCTGGTCATACGCGTCACTGGGTGCTGTTTGGTTTGTTTATTTCGAATTTCGATCTCAAGAAGTCAGTAAGCCTTCTGTACGAAGCAGTTTTGAGTCGATCGTGTGTTGGGTTGGAAGATCGGTCTGGCTTCGTCACCGCGTGGCTCGTGGCAGGGTGGATGGCAACCCTTCTTTATGGTCATGATCGCCTATTGATTTGAGTTTTTCCGCTCAAGACTATGATGCCGCACTCAACCCTATTACCCCCCGTTGCCTAACACGCACACACACATTCTGTTGCTAGATTCCTTTTGTGTCTCTACTCCAGAGAGTAGCTTAGCCTCCCCCAGGACATGCCCCCTGACAGGGTGCCAGCTCATAGCCTGTTGAAGTGCTGTATTTTCCGTGTGTTGGGCAGCTTTGAGACTGACGTCTATTCATCGGTGAGCCGGTTAGCGCCGTCGATGCTAGTACTCTAAAACACATTGACATGTACGAACGGGCGGGGGTGTTCTTGCTTGTTCACCTAACATGTACTTTTAGTCAGAGTCGGGTACGGACGGCTCTATGTTTTCAAGAAGGGACAGACCCAGTATGGTATATATTGGATGAGTTACGGTGCCCCCAATGACACCCGTCAGTCTGTGTGTGTGGCACTCTCCTTCCTCTCTGTCCCTTGCCACCCCTCATCCTGGAGAACCCATGCCATGATGTAGCAAGCGGCAGGCGAGACTCCCTCGTCACTGGCGCAATATCCAACACACTGATGTACCCGACTCAAGGGTACACGATACGAGCACTCTACTCAAGCCTATCAAAGGGTCTTCTGCCGAGATTGCCTGCGCCGGCGTCCGTGTCAGAAGGAGCTGCGAAGGAGGACCTCGCTGCCATCTAAAAGCGGAGAAGTACAATAGACGGAAAGCCCGTGACACTCAAGGGGATCTTAAAAGATCTTTCGTTGTTTTTCCCCCGGTTGACACTGACGTCTGTTGATTGATCAGTCGGTTCACGTGGTCAACGAAACTCACACTCACGTCTTTCCTCGGTCCGCCGTTTTACGCTACCGATGGGAACCACCGCATAATATATATGCACGCCGTTTTTGATTTTTTGTTGCATCCCGTCAGACATCGGCGGCGGCGGCGGCGGCGGAGAGGACACCGACGGGTGGGGGGAGGACGAGGACGACAGCTGCGGGGCCAGCGTCAACACCAGCAGCTCGGGGGTGGTCGTGGACCCCCCCCTGTCGGCATCGTCCCCTTCCGGTGACGGCGGAACTCCGCGATCCCGGGGCGCCAGCCGCGGGAGCGTCGAGGGTGACGGCGGCGGTGGACGCGCCAGCGGCATTGCTGGGGGGAGGTCCGAGGCTTCCCTGTCCCCGGGTGGCGGGCGGTCGCGCAGAGAGGGCGGGGGCGGAAGCGGCGAGGGGGATGGCGAGGATGGGTGGGAAGGGTGGAATTAGTCGCCCTTTTATTGATGGGGGGGCGGCGCTACGTGTATCCAAAGTCTGTGCCGTATGTGTTCTTTCTGGGGGGGTTGCGTTTGGCCGGCGGAAAATGGCTTGATCGGTCGGTAGTTTCATGGCTGGGTTTGCTATTATGAAATCAGCATTGTAATGACCACCGTTTGCCCGGTAGTTGGGGTTGTTTTTTTTGTGCATGTGGCGCAGTTGTCGGTTACTGCTGTGCCTCAATACATTTGTAGAAATACTTCTTGTAGTGCCGCAAAACACAGCTGTGCTGCCGTTTGCCGTTTGCCACCCCCCGCCGCCCCCGTTCAGGCCTTCTATCGCGGTTTGTTTGGCGTGTTTGATTTTGCGCCCCCCGCCCGGTGCTTGCCATCGGGATTGGGTTTTCGTCGCTTGGCAATGACGTTGTAAAACAAGCCAATTCACTTCGTGAACTCGGCAACCAGGACACCGTTTTTTTTTTTTTTTACCTCTGTTTTTTTGTTGGCGGTAACCATAATGGTGGTCGAGTAGATTATGTTGTGCGGGGTGGAGAACCCTCACTCCGCGCAAGGGGGATGATCGCACCACGTTGTGTTGAAATGGTGAAGCACGCTCGAGGCAGTTACACAGTGCATACAACTGTCTCTGGAAGTGAAGCACCAGAAAATAAGTTAAGTCATATCGCGCTGTCATCCGTATGCAAGGAAGTAAGCACAAGATGCCGAACACCCTTAGCAGGATGCAGCGCACCCTTCATGCGACTCGCCGAATATCTCACGGCGCTTCGCGCTTGGTGATGTGAGAGCCTGGTCCGGTGAGAACCCGGCGTGCTCCGTCCCGGCTTTGTAGGGATGCGAGGTCCATGGTCTAACGACTACGGCATGCACGTCTATGAGTACCCCCCCCCCCGCCATGCTGGGCCGGTCTGCCTAATAGTGTGAGGAAAACGTGACTGAAGAGTATCCCGGGGGTGCCGCAAAATCATCCAGGGGGAGACTGTTTTGGGTCCCATTTTTGCCAAGAAGGACGTCGCAGGCGACTCAAGAATGCCCCGCCCCCCCCCGCATTGTGGCCCGTTAGTTAATAGTTGAGCAATTCCACACACGCGCCGGGATCCTCACTGCTCCGTGTATCACCCATTGTGTGATATTTCTAGTTAAAGAACCTTCTCTATTTTCGTTTCGGCCACATTCTGTTAGCCTTCCGCGATCTACCATGTGTACAGAAAATGGCGTGTCGCGGGGGGCGTAGGCTTCCCCCCCCATTGCTTGTCGCCCCGAGTTTTCGGTATGTGATGGGATGTATGTGTGTGCGCATGTATCTGTATTTTGTTTTGGTCGCTTTTCAGTCTGTTCGACGCCGGCGAGACAAGGCCTGGTTGTGGTTGTTCGCCTACTTACAGCATTTTTCTACGGCGGTGGTGGCACGTGTTCGCCGTAGCATGCCGGCAGTGATGGCAGATGTGCTGTGCCGATGCGCATTGCATTTACCAGCGGCGAAGGGGATGTGTCACGATGTATATATACGGAAATTGTGCTTGGAGTTGAGTACAAGAACGGAAATTCAACCTTTTGTTTTTTTTCGTTGTAGAATGTGTACCCCTCTTTGGGTAGTGGGATTGTGACCACGGAATTACTGGGAAGCGGGAAACGTCTCGATACATTGTTTCCTACCGCGTTGCAGCGATAACTCGTTGAATGGGTGTGAGACATAGTAATGGCTATGTGTCTTCATCCCTTCTATCCTTGCCCCCAAGGCTACAACACGTATCAGTCTTCGGTCGCTCGAGAGTAGAGTATCTGTCAGCCGGGAGTCAAACAGGAAGGAGGAAGCTCAATATTTTTTTGAGTGTTTCTTACAGTTGGCCCCTGCAGTTAAGAAACGCTTATTTCGGGTCCAGCCTCGAATTCTTAATGTGGGCTATAAACTCAGCGTATGTCGTTCAGTTTCTTTTTTCAAGTTTCTTATTTGTTCGTGCAGCAAAACCCTGCTGAATTTCTTTAATCGGCAATTTCCTACGTCTCTGCTTGCATACCACACAACGTTCCAAATATTCAAATGATTTGCACTGCTTTCCTCGACCCCCGTACTCATCCCCGATTCTCACTACCGACGGCTGCACGTAAGGCCACTCCCTAGAAGCGAAATGTATCCAGCGGCAACGTCTCGCTATCGCTACAAGGTCCTGTACCCCCCTCATGAGTGAGGGCTGAAACTCAACAAATGCATAAACACCGCATGATGCCCCACCCGCACGCTGACGTGCCAACAACGAAAACTACCCCGTCATTATGTTGCAAGCTCCGTGAGGCGAACATTGGGGGTTGTCACCCTTTTGCGCCTCCTGCTCCCTTCCTTTGGGTCTACCTCTAGGAGAACCCACGCCCCAATTGCGACGTCTTCATCCGTGCTGTACGACTCCAACGGCATCTTCATGCTAAATTTACGCGTGCTTTCGTCACAGTGCAGGATAACGCGGTAGTCGTACTCCTGCCACGAAGCGGGGTGAGAACTGCGACTAATTAACCCTCCGAACCAACCCAACCCGAGTTTCACGAGAACCCCACGCTTCACTATGGGAGGGGGGGGTCGGGGGAGAGGGGGAAAGAGCGAGAGAGCTATGGGGTTGTTTCTTATTCGACACACTCCCCCGTAAACCCTCGTTTCTTATGTAGTAGGGCAGCGGTCACCGCTGTGTTCTTATTGAGACATTTCTTATTGTGTGACCCAGATTGAGCTATGTTAACCCTATTTTCAAATTTTTCGTGAACAAGTGAGCCTCAATTTCTTAACAAAATATTTCTTAACTGCGGGCGCCAACTGTATATCCAACCCTCCTCCTGCGGTGCTTGCAACGCGAGGGATGCACGGGTAGTGAAGAAAACATTCGGGTGCGGGGAGAACGATTGACGAACAACGCGAACAGCGTGCTGACATGATAAGGTTTGAGACACCCTAAAAAAAAGTTAATGTAGCATTTTCTGCCTGGCCGTGTACGTAAGATGATCGGTGACTACCATTGAAGCAAGATTGTGAGTGATTTCGGGGGGACCTTCATGGGCACATATCACGAAAAACAGAAGCTTGGAGCTGCAAGCAATGAATGTGTGTTACGAACGTGAATGAAAAAAAGAACGGCACCTACCTAATGCCTTGTGTGAAGTACCTGCCACCAAATCAAAGTAAATACTACGCGTTCGAGATAGTACGAAAACACCCCGTTCAAAGGGATATGCATTGAATGGATTCTGTGCAGCTGTACAGCATAGAAGGTTGAGAGAGAGGAACCTGCTGGATACTGGATACCTTGATACGGATACAAATGTGACGGTTCGGCGGAACGTGATGCGAAAATGCGGTACAACATGTGGTGTTTCGGCGCAATCTGCAATCTGCATGTATTTTGATTTCCAAATGGTTCGTTGACGCGTTGAGCGTTGAGCGATTGATGACAAGAGTGATCGTGACGAGAGTGATCGCGCCACCCCACACCATTCCCACAGTATCACCACACCAAAATCACCCGCGATCGCAATCAAGGCTTGGGAGCAGGTGAGTGGGTCATGAGTCTGACTGACAATCGACGAGTGAGGCGGAAGCACCACACGCGACACGATACGTCATACAGCAGTAGTCCACACTGAGCACGCGTAGTCTACGTGTTGATTTAGATTCCATCGTAAAGTATGCCTACTCCGTTCACATTGTTGGCGCACAGGTACTTCGAGACGCCTGCCCAACGTTCATCCTCACCGTGTACCCAGAATAGTTTGTCCAGCCACCACGACATGAGGAAGGGCAACTTCACAGAGTTGTCCTAGCCCGCAGATGCTCCTCCTGATAACAAATCCTTACCAACCAGTAGGCAACAGCGGCGGTGGTTGTAGCAGCCTGGATTTGGGCGAAAAGGTCACGTTATTGTGCCGGCGCGGCACTGTGTATGGCGGCAGGTTGGTAAGCTTGCAACACCGAACCAGAAGTACCGATAGCATCATCACCGTACTCCTCTTCCGCGCATCGGAGATGGGCCAATTGCCGCCGTCTTGCTTTGTGATGAACTGGCACCGATTGATTCAGGAGAATGCTGGTCTCTAGCAGCCGTCAGTGAAAGCGGTGACCGTTCTCGGTGGAACACAATTAATATGTTCCGATGTACTTCGAAGCACTTCTATCATGCGGCAAACGCGCCTTTGGGTGTCCACCTCCCGTCCGCAAAGAAGACGACACGACGAAGAGTAAAAACCAACGTCGCAGTCGGAAGTTCACGAGCACCTGAAGATTTATATCGTACTCACGATATCTGTAGAGTTGAGATAGAACATTTTTTGATGTCTTGACAGCCGGATGATCGTTGAAAACAATCAATATCGGGAGGGTCACGAGATTAGATTGCCGCAATCCGCATCTACTTCCGTATGCATTCATGCTGCACGTGCTGGGGGGGGTTGGTCGGTGCTGAAGTTGACAATGGCATCTAATTCGGAAAAAAAAAATACAAACACGCATCGGCACCATGTACCTTCATCAACGTACAATTGTACCCTTCATTGATTATTCGACGTACGTACGGACTCAACCAAATCGCGACGTTGCGGCACAACAAAAAATATCAATACTTGAGCGCGCCACCTTACAACAATCAACGCAGTTAGCTGCTATTATATCAAGACATGAAGATTCCCTAACAACGTGTGTGTTTGCGGCCGCATGCCGAACCATGCGCGCGGGTCTCGTTTCCGCTTGTGCTTTGGGCGTTTTCCTGATTTTCAGGTATAGCTCAAACACACATCCACCACGAGACGAACACCCGCAACAAACATGAGGTCTTTCACGATTGTGTCGGCTCTCTTGGGACTGCTAGTACCCGGCTCCGCGACGATGGCAAAAACTGCCAAACAGCAGCAGATCCAAATCCCGGAGGGAGGGCACACCTTTAAGATCAGCCACTTCGACGATGGGCGTGCCACTCCGTACCGGGTGTACTTCTGGGACACGTTCCTCACTGGCTCGAGCTACAGGTTCACCCTGGACGGCGACGTTCGGTACTTCAAGGCGGGGAGAGAGCAGTACAAGGACCGTGAAGACAAGGAGGACGGTTCAATCAAGTTCACGTCCACGCCTTCGGAACCAAGGAAGGACCTCAACAAAAGCGAGCCAAAGCCGACCGACTTCCCCACCTACCGCAGCTGTAGCGACTGCACCGCCACTTTGCAGGTCGTCTGTCGCTCAGGTCTACCAAAGTTCTGCAGCACGGTCGACCGTTCCTGCCTCGGCAGAGACGGGGCCCTCTCGGTAGGCATCCTGTGCGGCAAATATGAGCGCGCGTGTGCCTCCGCGAATTCTGTTTGCTCCGACGTTTGCGCCGAGGAATCCAGTGATGACTCCAGCGACGACTCCAGCGACGACTCCAGCGACGATTCCAGCGATGATTCGAGCGATGATTCGAGCGATGGATCCGGTAAGTGTAATGAATGAAAGGGGCAATGTTGTAGCGCGACTAAAGGATATATACCTCAAGCCGTGCCCGAATCCCCGTAACACGTCTGTCCTATGGGATGAACAAACCCGTTCAATGTTGTACCATCGCATAGGGGCGGGGCCTTAACTCGTGCAGCCCGTGTTGAGCAAGTACGACAAAGCTTGCAGTCAGATGCTAATGCGCAAGAGGACTCCCCTGTGTTCATGCTGGTGTATGTCTGAGTGTATGTACGCTTGCTTGCGGCCCAAAAGAGACTCAAAGGAAGGAATAGTGTAAGGCAGGGAATAAGCGAGTGCGGCGGAATGGGCGCGCGCACGGTCGGCCTCTACATCCATCGGTCAAATCCAACAACCAGTCTTGAGTTTCGTAACCTTGATCTTGACTACAACGACTTCGGCACATACATACACCACAATCCTGGGACAGTGTAAGGTGGGTGGTCCTTCAAGACAGACGGGTTCTGTAGTACATGTGATGACACGGAGCGACCAGCGGACTCTCGATGCTCTCGATAAACGATGGAACGCGGTGAGATCGCACATATCTGTAATAATAGCGTTGCATGTCAGCGCACAGCATGCCGAAAAAAACGTGACGCTGAGGTACCACATATAAACACGAAATAACCTAATCCGCACGCTCTCCGGGCCTCATCCCCCCTCCGAATAACAGGCGAGGGTACTCCCACCTGCGCCAGCCACGGTGTCGTCGGCATTGAGTCCTCGAACAAGAAAGTGTGTTGCGATGTGCGATGCGGAACCTGCGGGGGGGTCGGGTGCTCCAAGTTCGGCGAGGAGTACGGTCTCGGTGAATCCTACTGCTGTACAAGCACGTGAGCATGCATTTCCCGCTCAGTTTCTAGTAGCCCCCCCCGCGCCCGCCCCTTAGTGATTCCATGGGTGGTACGGAGAACTGTGGTCAGTGTGATGTATATTACAGGAATTCGATGGGGAAAGAATGAAAGGTGCTAATGGTCGAGCCCTATAGAATACTACCGCGATCCAGTGTCGCCAGAATCGTCAAGTCTTGCTCTACCGATGCTGTAGACATGGCACCAATACTGCGGGGCGACCGCTAACCTCTCCCCCTGCGTCCATGCCACCATCGACGGTATCTACGATTTTTTGTTGCAGCATCACTGATGACGGCGAGTCATGCGCTGACACCGGGATGGCCCCTTGCTACATCGACAGCGGTAAGCATTTTCTCGCTCGGTTACCTTCTAGGCAGGCGGTCGGGCTTTGTGCGCGACACGCCGCTCCACAAACTGCGCTCGCCAGACGTTAGTCACCTTGATTGTTAGCGGATCTCCCCTGACTTTGACATTTGATCGTGACGCCTCATGCAGTTCCGCTTTTCGTGTTCATGTGACATCTGAGTCGACACCGTAGTCCTCAATCACGAGGATGATGCTGTCTGTACAGTCCTTGTTCTCCTTTCGTTCCTCGAACTATGACAAGCGTCGTATCCTCTCATCACCATCTCTGATGGAGACACACACTAACAACCTTGTCTTGCGATTCCCTTGTCTCTTGTCTCGTCCTCTAGACGACGACTCGAGCGACGACTCGAGCGACGACTCGAAGGACGAATCGATCGACGAATCCGGTAAGTGTGCGGAATGTTTGGGGCATAGTGTGGTGCGTTGAAACGTTCCATCTCACGTCTTAGAAATGTGCGAACCGTGTTGCAGGGCTTCCCAGCGTTGAATACAACCCCGTCATGGACATGCCCCCTCCGATCAACAGGCGAGGGTTCGACCACGTGCGCCAGCTACGGTGTAGTCGGCATTGAGTCCTCGAACCAAAAGGCGTGTTGCGATGTGCGATGCGGAGCCTGCGGGGGGGTCGGGTGCTCCAAGTTCGGCGAGGCGTATGGCCTCGGTGCTTACGAATGTTGTTCCAACGAGTAAGTACGAATTTCTCGCTCACAATTTTTTCTCTATCCCCCGCCCCCTTTTGTGATTCCATGAATGGTATGGAGAAGGGTGGTCAGTGGGACGGGTTATTCTGGACGTTGATAGAGAAGGGGAGAGAGGTGTTTGTGGTCGAGCCCGATCGAATACCGCGATCTACGGTAGTGTTTCCAGCACCGTCAGATCTTGCACTTTGCTGGAGACCTTGTACAGTACGTGGTGCAATCGCTAACCTCTCCCCCTGCGCCAATTCCACCACCGACGACATCAACGAACTTTTGTTGCAGCATCGTTAAACAGGGCGAGTCCTGCGCTGCCACCGGGATGGCCCCTTGCTACATCGACAGCGGTAAGCATTATTCTCTTAGGTTTCCTTCTAGACCGACGGTCCGGATTTCGTGTGCATGTGACGTCTGAGTCACAACCAATTGTAGGTAGCCCTCCTACCGACGTTATCTGTACACAGACAGTCAGTCCTCGCTTTCACTGCGTTCCTCACGCTATTGTAAGCATCGAACCACCCTCTCTTCACCATCCAGCCCTGATGGAGACACAACACTTGTCGCGGTTGCGATTCCCTTGTTTCTTGTATCATCCTCTAGACGACGAATGGGACTACGAGTCGAAGGACGAGTCGAAGGACGAATCAAAGGATGAATCCACCGACGAATCCACCGACAAATCAGGTAAGTGTACCGAAAGGTTGAGGGCATAGTGCCACGAAACGTTATATGCACGTCTCAGAGATGGAGGAAGCGACGTACTTACTTGTCGGCGCTACGTTTAGCTCGTTCAATGTACCATCGCACAGCGGCAGCGTCTCGAGTGACCGTGCTGCAGGCTTATCCCGTGGGTTGACTCCAACGAACTGAGAGACCACACATTATTAGTCCAAAAACGACTGAATGACCTTGACTAATCCGAAACCTGTTCCCCGGGCCTCATCCCCCCTCCAAATAACAGGCGAGGGTACGGCCATGTGCGCCAGCTACGGTGTGGTCGGCATTGAGTCCTCAAACCAAAAGGCGTGTTGCGATGTGCGATGCGGAACCTGCGGAGGGGTCGGGTGCTCCAAGTTCGGCGAGGCGTATGGCCTCGATGCTTCCTACTGCTGTTCCAACGAGTGAGTACGAATTTCTCGCTCCGTCATTTTTCTCCCTTTCCCCACCTCTGTGTTTCCATGAATGGTATGGAGAACGGTGGTCAGTGGGACTTGATATTCAGGACATTGACAGAGAAGGGGAGAGAGGTGTTTGTGGTCGAGCCCGATCGAATACTGCGATCTAGTTTCGCCAGGATCGTTAAATTTGTCTGTGCTGGAGACCTTGTACCAGTATTGTGGTTCGACCGTTAACCTCCCACCGGCGCCCATTCCACCACCGACGATATCAACATTTTTCTTTGTCCACAGAATCGTTGATGACGGCGAGTCGTGCTCTGCCACCGGCATGGCCCCCTGCTTCATTGAAAGCGGTAAGCATTATCCTCTTCGGTTTCCTTCTAGGCGGGCGGTCGGGCGTGTGCCCGACACACCACTTTCGTGCTTTAGTGTTGCGGTTTCATCCTTTGGATCGGAGAATAATTCGGGTAGTAGGTGCTGCAGTGAAACCTTCAAATTTAACTTGAGGTACCAGGCGATGTTCGCACACGAATGAACGGATGAAAGCGCGAGGTCGGCAACGCACGGCGCCTTATTGAATGCTTCTTCCTCGTCGTGGTTCGCGTGCATGCATGTAACATCTGAGTTACGGCAGTAGTAGTGCTCGCTAGCGTCGTGGCTGTGGATCGTCCACGTGTGCTTCTTTCTATTATCCTCAAAACTAAGCGTCGACTCCTCTCTCTACAATCCCGCCCTGACGGAGACATTCTTGTGACTGCTGGTACCGTTCACTTATTTGTTCTCTCATCCTCTAGACGACGACTCGATCGAGGACATCGTGGCGCCCGCTTCCGACGATGGTGAGTTTTCCAGCCCGTAGCGTGATACCGCAAGCGCGTGATACCGTCAGACGGCTGCGGGTGTACGTCGAGATACGTCGACCTGGGACCTGTTGCTTATTTCGGTGGTATGTCGTTTGACTACCGTATATCTGGTCTCGCGCTCGCACTCTCTGCCTGGTAATGGATAAAAACAACGTCAAGAAGCCCACGGTAGTCCTACGACGTGTCATGCCCACCGCGGGAGCGTTGGCGCGTTGCAGATCAGATGAAACACGGCCTGGTCACAGGTACCCCAGCGACCCTCTTCCCTCCCCCCTTCAAGCACCCGGAAGTAATCTATGCGATCAGTTTTCTAGTCTTCCTTCGAGAAGCAAACGGCATTCTGTGCCCAATTCTGACGCGAGCAAGAAGTCTCCCGGTCGCAAAGATTCTTTTTCACGGTGCGCGATGAAGCCCCCAACCAGTGGCCTCCGCGCACGTACTGCACCCTGCTCATGTTTCTTCGACTGCGCATCAAGCCGGCAGGACTCCACCCTCCCCGTTCCATTGCTCTTCAGCTTCTTTCCAAAATTTCATCCGAAGGACAGCGGTAGTTTGTAATGCTTCGTACGACCCCCGCCCTCGTTCACTCGTAACTCTCGTGGAAAAACAAACAACAGGCGGCGCACAGTCTTGCAGCAGGGACAGCCTCAACGACGTGGACCAGCAGCAGCTAAACCTGTACGAAAACGACATGTACCTCGAAGATGACTGCGTCAACGATTCCACCCCGCTTCCCCTCGGCTGCAACTACATGGGCCTGGGCCAGGAGTGCCGCGGGTGCTTCCTGGTGAGTTATAGTTGTTGATATCGCGCGTTTTCATGGTGAAATACTGTCAAGGTACACTATTTGGCGAGCGAATATATCCGTCCCCGGTGCGACTATTTGCATCCATCCGCATGCCGACAGTCAAAGAATCGCTCGGAATACGGCTCTAATAATAACGTACGTGATTCAACAATCACGGCCGGCCGTTCTCACCGCGCCCGCGCCTCCCTGTCCGGTATCGTGGTTGTTTCAGACCTGCGCTGGTGCGCTCACGTACATCGAAGACAAGACCGAACACATCCAAGAGTATGTGAGTCAATCAGCTTGAAAGGCCTGTTGAGGGCAATCGTTGTTGTTGTATTCCTGGTTGCATCCGTGTAGTTCGATTCGTTCATCTGACGCTGTCGTCGCAGGCGTGTATTTCAAAAGTACTGAGAACTTCATCGGGGTGAGAGATGTGCACTGCTGCCGCTTGCTGCACTGCTCCAGTCCTGCACTGCCTGCACCTGGAGAGAGATAAAACGAATCTCAGGCTGACACGATCTAGACTACCCGTGATTCACGCATGTTTGTAGGCATTGGCCCACGTCAAGGTAATTTTAAGATAGATGCTCGGCAAAACGAAAGTCTCCTTTCGATTAATGATGAGACTACAAATAATACATGATAACATGCGCTAACGAAAGCGAACGTTTTCTCATGGTGTTGTTGTCCGATTTCCTGCGCACGCACCTCGTCGCGTCCACATACGTACTGTAGAATCGCCGTTACAAATGCATCATAGACTAGGCAGGCAACATTTTTTAGTCAGCCACCTCCTGCCACTGAGATATGCATATGTACGTGCAATACAACACCAGGCTTGACCTCTGCGCCTGCTGCCTTACTACCAACAACATGAATGAACCCAAAACACACAGGGCGAGGACGCTGTCATCAACTTCTGCCCGCAGTCTGAGGTGAGCGACCTGGCGGAATGCCGCGACTGACGACGCTCTTTCTTCAACGTGATGGTTTACGACCGACTCCTCCTCCTGGGCTGCGGCGGACAAGCCCGAAGACAATCAGCCGTTGTTAGGTCCCCGACAGAGAGAGAAGGGTTGCAATCGACTCACAGGAGGGTAGTAATGTAATATACTTTGTGCGTATTTTCAGCCTGGTTATTTGCGGCCGATTCCAGGGGTGCGACCGACATGGATGGCCGAAAAAAATGCGATCGTTTTTCTGAGTCCCCGACAGAAAAGACGAGGATTGGGATCGACTCATAAGAACGGAAGTTTTGCAGAATTTTTGTGTCATAACTCTTTTTTGTAGAATGTCTTTGTTCTTTACGTGCTGAGGTGTTAGGCGGTGCGCAACCTATGTAAGAATGTTTTCGTTTGTTTGTTTGTGGATGCCGTGGGGTGTTTTGAGGTCGCTCAGAGTTGAGGTCGTTTAGAGGTTGGAACTTGGATGTCGCAATGCAGTTGATACACTGAAGGGTATCATCCCGGTATTACCGTGTGAGGAAGCCTGTTATTTCCTATACGCCGGTGTGTGTTGCCTGAACCGGGGGGAGGTTCAAGCTAGAGAATGTTGGGGATAGATAAAACGTCCACAGCACGGAATGGGACGACGCTGTACCCCGACAATATTGCGTGCTGAGGTGTTATAGGCGGTGCGCAACCTATGTAAGAATGTTTTCGTTTGTTTGTTTGTGGATGCCGTGGGGTGTTTTGAGGTCGCTCAGAGTTGAGGTCGTTTAGAGGTTGGAACTTGGATGTCGCAATGCAGTTGATACACTGAAGGGTATCATCCCGGTATTACCGTGTGAGGAAGCCTGTTATTTCCTATACGCCGGTGTGTGTTGCCTGAACCGGGGGGAGGTTCAAGCTAGAGAATGTTGGGGATAGATAAAACGTCCACAGCACGGAATGGGACGACGCTGTACCCCGACAATATTGTAAACGGCGGGAAGTCCGGCTTCAGACGTTTGCCTAGTTGGACGCTCGAATCGTTTTCAATTCCTGCACCATTTGCGGGTAAGAGAAGGTTCGCGGCAGGCACTGTTTCGTCGGCGCGCTCGAGCGTGAGCAGTGTTTGTAGATGAACGTCGCAATTAACTGCGGGGATTCGACGGCCTTCAGTTTTTTCTCTTTCTAAAGGCACCCGGATCTAGGTGGTGCGTTCTTGCGAAAAACACTTTGAGTGAAGCCGTAGGTCGGTTGTACGCCCACGAGGAAGCAGTCTCTCTTCCAACGCTATCCTCATCGCAGGCCTCGACAACGAAAACGCGCGCACGAACGGCGCTCAAAACTTGCGTTCATTCTTGTCTTCTCTCGAAATCGTTGTCAAGTTCACCTCTTTTCGAGACCCGCCTGCTTGCCTACAACCGCAGGGTTTGGCCAATATATTTTGCTGGCAGCGTCTAGAGCAACAAAAGCGTGGTCCGAGATAAATATCGATTTCCTCTATGAATACATGTTTCAAACGCGAGCATCACGCCAAACAGAGCGAAAAAAATAAATCTACCGCCTAAAAAACAAGTCCAATTGTACAGCTTCCGACTCGAACGTGCGACATCTCATTCGACAAGACAAACAAACAAGAGGGAGCTCGAACGAAACCTGGCACGTCGAAGAAAAAAGGACGACGTTCTCTCCCTCGTTTCACCGCAAACAGTCCGCCCGCACAAAGCCGCCAAAACCAATGAAAGAGAGGGCCACAAACACTTTAGACTTGGCAGCACAGCAGTCAGTGCGCGCGCACACGCACAAACAGGAGGAAACCATTTCCAGACTACTAGTAGGAACGAACGGTAGATGATACAATCAATCAGCGTCGAAACAACAGATGGTCAACGAAAGTCTGCTAAGAAGTTACAAGATCCCGACGAGGTTGCAACTTTCTTTGCCGAACGATGTGCCCAACTAGCATTCCTCCAGGAGTTCCACCTCAGCGTCGGGGCAGAAGTGGACGATCGCGTCTACACCCTGTTTCGGACAACGTTTTGCATGCATGCAGCAGGTGGAACAAAAGGCAAAGCAAACAAAGGAGCAAAAAATAAACTTGTTGCTTGTTAGTTTGCAATTTTTTTGCATGCCTCCGAGACGTGGACGAACGTGCGTGCGTGCGTGGTGGATGATTGCGGCGTTGGATCGATGAGACAACCAACTTTTATTCACTTCAACACTGGGGTCTTAACTACCCTAGCTTGGTGTCTTTTCGCGTTCTATTGTCACTTCCATCTGGTCCAAACTCAACCGACGGGGAAACACGCTTCCGTACTACGGCAGGTTAATCGAAACCTGGTGACCCAGAGGTAAATATATCTCCATCCATCCGGGATAGACTCTCTAAAGGCCAGCATTCATTGTATGAGGGTTTGGCTTCGAAGGATTTTTCTCCCGTTGTTCCTTTGTCCGGTTGAATGTTCATTGGCTTTGTTTGCATCGATCGGCGTCCTCGCAGTCTTCAGGGAACCCACTGGAGCAATACATTACTCTGTACAAAACATGTTGCTTCACAGAACTAATTGCAATCAACAAAGAAACAAGGAAGCCACAACCTTCTCGCGATACATACACCGTCGATCGACTCACCCACACGGAGATTTCCTCAGCGAAATCATCGAGGTACCTGGTGGCGCCGTCGCAGGTCTGAAATGGAAAAAGCGCGACGGGCAATCAATCGCGTACCGATAGAGGGAGATGGGCAAGAGATGAAAAAAAACTATGTACTGGGTGGGGTAGAAAATTCGGTACGATTGATTGTGTACATGCTGTCGCGGAGGGCAATCGTGCATCGGAGGTTGCCTTGCTGGTTCTCAAGGTTCATAATGCAACCAACTAACGTATGCATCCACGCAGAGCTCTTTTGGGCTTCCTGGCAGGGCGAAAATGAATGTTGGATTGGAAAACAACTTACTTACCACAAGAGCCCCACCAATGAATATGCATCAAGCATTACACTGTGAATTCATCGCTGTTATTTCCTGGACTCATTATGGATGATAGAGACCGACGGAACGGGTTGGTTGTGTTGTTTCTATTAAGAAATAGATTTGAAAGAAGGGAGTAGGTTTTTCTGTTGCCGCTGAGAGTCACTCAATCTCCTCTGCTAGAGGGCAAAAACACATCCCGCCACGATCCCCTCTGACGACGGCGATTTCTTTGTCCTGTCTTTTCTTTTGACTGCGTCACGTGGCATTTTCTGCAAAACAAACGTTTCTCGCAACGAAAACTAACCATGAAGCAGCCGCGGCACTCCTGGCCCAGACCCATGTAGTTGCAGTGGACGGGCATGGGGGACGCGCCATTGACGCAGTCGGGCTCAAGGTAGAGGCCCTTGTCGTACATGGACAGCTGCTCCTGGGCGGCGTCGGAGAGG